GTACAGATGCCGAGGTCCACCCCTCCACAGCCCCTCGTCTCACAGTCGAGGAAAGTCCAAGAGGCCTGCAGAGGGGAAGGAACTTGCTCCAAGCCACCAGTCAGTCAGTCAACAAATCTTTAGGAAGTGCTAAGGCAAAGTTCACATTCTAATGGCACAGCAATGCTCCCCAGAGTCAGGGTCAATCCTCTCAACTGTGCAGCTTTACCAGCAAGAAAACAAGGAATCTGAGGTCCTATCTGCAAGCCAGCCCACAGCAGGAGCTGTGCACCAGCAGCTCTGCTCAGCACTAGGGAGAAGCTCCAGAAGACATAATTATATCCCTGCCAAGGTCTTGAAACAGGCAGCTTTTCCTTCGGGTCAAAGGGGACAGAGGCCCAGGCACACTGCTCAGGCCATTCCTGGCCACGATCCCTGAGAGGCCAAGCTTGGAAAACTACTAAAGATGGTTCACTGGTGTCTGGCAGCAAGGCCGTCAGGGATCTCCTCACTTCCCTGGCCCCGGTTTGGGGGTGGGGGCGGGGAGGGGGAGGTCTCCTCTCTTTGCCAAGGCTAAGCCACCTACTTGTGCCCCGGACTCCATCGCCAGACAATTCCATGAGGGACCACTCCCTCCCATCCCCCTCCCCTCCATCCACACCTTCAGGCTCTTTCCACGAAGTCATCCAGGACCCAACGCTGACCACTCCCTCCTCTGGAGGCCAGAAGTTAAAGACTGAGTAGATTATGGTGTGCCACATTTTTTCAGTCAAGTATGAGGCAGGTTCTCAGCTGAGAGGGTGGGGACAGGGGAGCCATGGAAGTCTGAGGAGGGTGAGTTAACTGCTGAGGCATAAAAGCACTGCCCTCCTGCAGTGAGGGCCCACCCGAGAATGAATGACAGTTAGCTGGCAAGAGGACAAAGGGGCAGGTGATTTTCATGTAGAGGATAGTGTGGAGTTGAATTGGTTCACCAAGGGTCAAGATGGGGAAGGAAGAGAGGGCAGCCAGAGTAGGGGTGAAATGGGGCTGGTAGAACTGAAAGTCAAGCGAAGGAGGAGGAGGAGGACCGATATCGGGGGTCACCTTCTCTGTGTGGGGCTGAGGCAGGAGCAGATCACAGGGGTCATGGGCCCAAAGACCACCTTCCTTCTCCTCTGTGTGCATCCTGGATGCACCTGGTTATTTGCATGTGGTCTTCCCCAGGAGACTGAGGACCATGTTCTTCCCTTTCTTTGTTCTCTCGGTGCTCAGCACACTGCCTGCATATAGTAGGCGCTTAATTAGCGTTAGCTGTCTGAACAGCTTATCTGAATGAGTCTTTGCAACACTATGCTAAAGCCACAGACCAAAACAGGGAGCGGTGGGATATGAGAAATCAGGCACGTGCGAGCAGCCCCTGTCCCCACATCACCAAAGGGGCCGAGGAGGCTGCTGAAGATGGCTCCAAGGCCAGGCCTGAAAGAGATGAGGCTGCGACCAGACAACGAAGGCACCCCGCCACAGCAGCAGCGGCTCGCGAGGGAGCGAGCTCCCTGGGCTCCTCCTACTCAGGCTCATGGGCAGCTGAGTCACTGCGGGCTCGGGATAACATGAAAAGACCAAACCTTCCAGGCTGACTCATGGAACTTTCCTGGCGAATCTCACTGTGCTTGGTCCCAGCAGTGCTCTGACCGGACAGAGCACTGCTCACCACAGCTCTCTCTCACCCCTCCGCCCACCACGGAGGAGAATGGAAGCTCCTGGAGGGCAGGGGCTACCTGTTCATGTGTCCTCAGTGTCTACCTAGAACAGCATCTAGTACGTGGTAGGTGCCCCTCAAATGCTTGATGACTGACGAATGAAACTTCTGGGGGCCTCTGAGTTCTTCCTAGCATGACAGATTTAGAGCTGGAATGGTGCTTAGGGATGATGGAGTCTAACCATCTCATTTTACAAATCAGAAAACTGAGGCACAGAGAGATTCAGGGAACTGCCCAGGGTCAGTCAGTCAACAAGGCTTTAGTAAGCACCTACTACGTGCCAGGCACTGTGCTAAGCACTGAGGATACAAAGAAAAGCAGAAATAGTCCCTGCCTCCAAGGTCCCCCCAGATACAAATCACGAGTTCCCTACAAGGTCTGTAGAGAGCAAAGGGAAGGTCATCACCAGCCCCTGGTGGGGAGGGGAGGTCACTCAGCTAGTGAGTTTCTGAGGCGTGATTCAAAGCCAGGTCCTTCTGGTGCCAAGGCCAAGACCAAGGCTCTGCTCAGACCATGGAAAAAAGAATCAGATCATCACCAACATCTCTACATAACCAGCCTGGGCTCTGAAGCGTGAGTCAGCTGTCATGGGATACAGCACCCGCTTCCTGGTTAACCACAGTGAGCAGAAGAACGGCCTTCCAAAGCTTCCTCACAGTCACAGCTCACCCAAAGAGGAGCACGCTGCCCCCCCTGCAAGCTTATGGAAGTGTGGCTGCAGAGCTGGAAGGGACCTCAGAGGGCATCTGACCCAACCCCCTCATTCTACAGCAAAGGAAACTGAGGCCCAGGAAGGGGACAGGCAGGGGGGCATCCAGGGAAACACTGCCCCGGGGCCCGCAAGCAAAGACGAGACACCCGCTTGTCAGCGCCCCTGGAGAGCATCCCAAGGATTGCAACCGGGACGGTGCGGGGCTTCAGCTGACTGCACGTGAGGACTGGCTAGAGGAATGGGGACACTTCACCCCGAAATGAGAAGACTCCAGTGAGTTACAGAACCAGAGCCTTAGCGCTCAAAGGGAACTCATCCCGTAAGCATGCAAGAGATCGACAAGCGTCTTACTACTGAGCGCTGTCGATGGGCCAGGCCCGACTGAGGGCTGGGACACCAGGAGGGAGAGCCTGAGGAACAGGCAGCAGGACCAGGATGGCCGGGCCACAGAGAGGAAGGAGGGGTACAACGTCTAAAGGCCTGCAGAGATGGGAAGAAGCCGTGTTGTGGAGGTGGGGATGGACCGCGAGGTGAGGGCGGGAAGGAGGAGGCCACCAGATCTCTAGGGCTCCGCAGAGAACCCAGCACATAACAGGCTCTCAATAAATGCGTGTTGATCTGAATTAATTAAAAAGCGCCTCGTATCAATTATGGAGAGAGGTCAAAAATTAGGTCATTTTTTCCCTAGAGAAATGATGACGATGCTTGTGGAGTCCTGGATTCCATCTGTTCCAGGGCCAGAGTTCTGCAGGGCAGAAGCCAGCTCCCTCTGGAGGCTGATCCAGTCTGTCCTTCGAGTGGCCCCCTCCCCTCTCGCTGGGGCCCAGCAGACACTTCTCTTTTCATTTCCCTAAACAGCTTGAAGAGCCAGAGCTGGGTACGATGTGAGGATTCACGCACCGCTGAACAGAGCTGCAGGAAACCACACAAGAGGGCCCGCAGCAAATTCCCGTCCATCCTCTCATCTCTGCCGGGCCCTTTTCCCTGGCTGGCCCCCCCACTCTCCCAGCTGCCGGACACAAGAGCCTTCCTGTCTCTTACTCTCCTCCCCTGGCCCTCTTCCCCAGCAGCTGAACACCTCACCTCAAACTTGGCCCCAAGGCGAAGGCTGTGCCCCCAAGGGCTGCCTCTCCCTTCCATCCCTCATGATGATGTGGACCTTCTCCTTGCCAAGAGACCCCTGCGTGCCCCCTGGATCTCCTCCCTCCCATCTTCCCCAGCAGGCTGCCTCCCTGTGGTCCCCAAGATGGCACTACCTTCAGCCTTCTGCCTGCTGGCTCCTTCCCAGCTGCCAACGAATTCGTCCTTGTCTCTCCCTTCTGTCCAAGGTTCTCGCTTGACCCAACCATCCCTGAGAGCTTTTGTCTGCTATCTCGTCCTCCTTGAGCAGCCTGTCTAGACTCACTGCCTCCACTTCTGCAATCTGATTTCCAGCCTCATCATTCAACTGAAAATGTGCTCTCTGACGCTACTATTGGCCCCCAACTGTCAAACCCAGTGGTCTTTTCTCATTGTGAGGGGGCAGACCCACCACTCGGGGTACCCCTTTGTGCCCTTGCCCCTTTGTGCCCAGAACCCATCCAGGTTCTTTGACCCATCCAGCAAGTCACTGACTCTATTCCTCCTTGTGTGATGGGGTGCACCAGGCCTGATTCTTGACCCTGCCCCTCCAGCCTCCAGGCCCCAGACACTGGACACCCATCTGATCTGCTGATGCACCCTGAGGGCCCCTGGGCCTTGCCACCCACCCCACGGCTGCCCCCTCAGGCTTTCCAGGCCCTTCCCTGAGCCTAAAGTTTTACATGCCATCTCTATCAGTTAGAGCATAAGCTCCATGAGGGCAGGAATTGTCTCACTTTTCTATTTATCCTCAATTCTGAGCACAGCTCTCAGCAAATATTATGCACTTAAGAAATGCCTTTTCACTCATTTCTTCTTGACCTCTCTGCAGCCTTGGACACTGTTGGTCATTCCCTCCTCCCTAGGTTTTCAGGACCCTCCCTCCCCCATTCTCCTCCTCCCTCTCTGACCGCTACTTCTCTGTCTGCTTTGTTGGACACTCCCCCAGATCATGCCTTCTAACCATGGGTGTCCCTCAGGGCTCTGTCCTAGGCCTTCTGCTCGTCCCCCATACTCCTTCCCTTAGCGAGCCCATCAGCGGCCGTGGATGAAATGACCATCACTATGCTGGTGATGCTCAGATCTACCTTCCCTGCCCCAACCTCTCTGCCGACCTCCGATGGCTCATCTCCAGCCGCCTTTCAGGCATCCCCAACTGGACGTTCAGTAAGCATATTAAACTCAACATGTCCAAGACAGGACTCATCATCTCTCCTCCTAAACCCCCCCCCCATCTTCCCGGTCTCTCAGGCTCCCAATCTAGGGGTCATCCTGGCCTCCCCACTCTGCCTCACCCCCCAGATCCAACATGGTGCCAAGGCCTGTCGGTTTCACCTCTGCCCATGGGTCTACGCTTACAGGACCTCGCACGTTAAGAACACAGGACAGCCTCTACCGCCCAAAGCCCTCTCCTCTCCCTAAGATGTGCATGCAGAGCAAGGACTTACTGTTAACGGCAATCCACTCATTGAGGTCCTCGCCTTCGGGCAGCATGACGGCCTGCCGCAGGTTCCCACTTCCCAGCGTGGCTTCTGCATGCTTGAGGAGCTCATACTGGTGGGAGCCTTCTGGAATGTTCTTCTTGGGCTTGAAGGTCTTGGAGGACCGGCTGCTACTGTAGGGGAAGAAGGGGGATGTACTGTAAATACCGTGGCAGGCTGCTTTACCCACACTCATGGAGCTGGAAGGGAACCCAGGGCCCACCGAGCCTAACCTCAAGTCAGGAAGACCCAAATTCAAATCCAGCTTCAGACGTGAAATAGCTGGTAACCCTGGCCAAGTCATTTTCCTTCTGCCTGCCTCAGTTTCCTCATCCATAAAATGGAGATAATAACAGCACTGACATTGTATTTGTATCCTCAGTGCTTGATGTATAGTAAGCATTTAATAAATACTTGTCTTGGGGCAGCTAGGTGGGGCAACGGATAGGGCACCAGCCCTGGAATCTGGAGGACCTGAGTTTGAAACCAGTCTCAGATACGTACTAGATGCGTGACCCTGGACAAATTACTTAACCCCAATTGCCTCCAAAAACAAAATACTCGTGTCCTTCCTTCCTTACTATGTCTCAGGGCTGTGGTGAAGATCAGGGAGATAATATTTGTAAAGTGCTCAGCAAATCTTAAACTGCTAAAATAAGTGCAGCTATCACTGTTCTTCTTACGATGATGATGATGATGAAAAAGAACCCCACTGTGACCAAAAAAAAAAAGGCAAGAGAGGAAGTGAAACATTTAAAAACTGCAGAGGAGGCCACCGGGTCAGGCTTAGCCAGAGACAAGCACAATGCTGTTACTACCACTTTAGATGTAACAAATACTAAAACAAACAGGCTACACGGAGCAGGCTGGAGGTATCCCGGCCCACCTCCATTTTCTGATCTTTTTGTATGACGACACTAATACTTGTTGGTGATTTTCTAGTTCACAATTGAAAAAGTAAATTAAACAAATCAGAAATTAAACAATAAATGCGTGCTGACTGACTGATGTAAGGGAGCCCTAACTTCCCAGAGAAGGGACCCTGCGCTGGTGGGCACGAAAGGGGGGAGGACACGTAAAGGCTCTGCAATGGGGGCCTTCTCTCCTCCTGCGGAGCTGCCCTAATTCAATCCACAAATACTCTACAGTATACAGAGACAAAAATGAAAATGGCCCCTGTCCTTGAGGGGCTTCCATTCTGCCTCATCTCACCTGACATCAACCCCCAGACTGGTAGAGAACCAGAGCCAGGTGCCACACCTGGGGGTGCCCCCTCAGGGAGGAGAAACGAGCCAACCACGAGTTGTCTGGGACCCTGTATTTACTGTGGAGCCACTTAGATGGGTAAGTGTTGTCTCTCCCTCTTCCCCAACAGAGTCTAAACTTCCTGAGGGCAGAGATGGGGGTTTCATTTTGATCTTTGCATCCTCAGTGCCTTATATACAGTAGGAGCTTAATGTTTGTTGAATCAAAATACAGCTTTCTCAAACTCCACTAGCAGCTCAGCGGTGCAGTGCACAGAGTGCTGGATCTGAGTGCCAATCCTGCCTCGGGCACCCTGGTCAAAACACTTAACCTCTTCCTCAGTTTCCTCAACTGTAAAATGGGGATAATAATAGCACCTCCCTCTCAGGGTTGTTGTAAGGAAAAATGAGATAAAGTGCTATATAAATGCTAGCTAACCACCATTGTTATTAAATAATAATTTAATATTTATAACTTAACATAAAGCCAATCTCTCAGGAAGGCCCCCACCACCTCCTGACTCCTTCCTTCCTACAGCCTGCTGCTGCCTCTTCACACAACAACATTCATTAAGTCGCTACTGTGTCCCTGACACTGCCCTGGCAAGGAGGCGACCACCCAAAGATCAGGAAGAAAGACAGACACTTGTTTTGCCTGCCAGGACCTCTTCTCTAAGCAGGGAGGCAGACACGGGGACAAAAACAAGGAGGGACAGCTTTTATGTTCGGGTTCAAGGGCCAGAGAAACTCAAGACAAAAGTCAGGCTGCAAGGGAGGGAAGGTGGAAGGAAGCCCCCTGGGGAGCTGGGGCAGGAAGGAAAGACTGGGCTAAGGCAGTAAGAGGAGAGTAGGGTGGCCAAAGAGGGATGAGCCTGCAGCGGGGGCGGCTGAGGGAGGGAGGAGCCAGGCAATGGAGGGGCTCGAAGGCCAGGCTGAGTGTGAACCTGAGCCAACAGGCAACAAACAAGTGGCTACGGGTCAGAGAAGTTGCAAAAGCAAACTTGCTGTGGCTGAGAGGACAAAGCTTGGAGACTACCTCAGTTATGCGAGGAGGAGATAATGAGGAACGTTGGGATTAAGCAGGTAGCCCAGGGTAGCTCATAAGGATGTCAGATAGGAATCTGAAAGGGACCTCAGAAGTAATAGTAATGAGAGGAGGATGAAAATAGATTTACACAGCTAGGGTTAGGCTGCAAAGTATTTAATGTACGTCATTTCACTTAAGCATCAACACCCCCATGTAAAACGGGGGCTATCGCCATGTTACATTCAGGGATACTGAGGCTGAGGTCAGTCACACAGCCTGGTCACACAACCATTCAAGGATCTGGGACAGGTCTCGACCTCTGTTCTCTGTGCGACTTGGCTGCCAAGATACCTGTGCGGCCCTGGCTGAATCACCAAGGTCTTTAGGCCTCAGTTTCCTCATCTGTAAATCAAAGGGCTCCTTCTGGCTCTAGATGTAAGACCCTCTAGTCCCACTCCCTCGCTGATCAGATAAGGAAATTCCAAGGCAGAGAGGGTGACTGTCCCAAGGCGACACAGCGGAGGTGGGCCTCAAGAAAGGAAGGAAATAAGCACTTATTAAGCACCTACTACAGGCCAGGCACTGTATTCTGTGGAAGGGACCTAGGATGACAGGCATCATTAGGCCTCAGGGTTAGGGATGCCAGAGCCGGAAGGGGCTTTACAGGTCACTGGAGGCCGGGAAAGGTAAAAGGACTGGGTGATGAGCCCAGGCCTTTCCAGAATCGGAGTCCACGTACTTGTACCAAGATGGGTCAAGGGCCCTGCCACTGGCCTGGGCACTCTGCCAGCTAACTTCTTTGTAGCCTGGGGCTCAGCACGTGCCTAGCTCGCAGCAGGGCTTAGTAAAGGTGCACTGCCCCGTGGGCGGGGGCCTAGGGGGGCAGAAATGGGGAAGTTGGGAGGGGAGCCGCGTTTGTTTGGGTTTTTTCCGGAGGGTTTTCAAAGACAACAGGAAATTCCCAAGGGGAGCGTGGCAGCGTTCAGTCACTCCTCCTCCCCCGGGCTGGGCCCCACAGGGAGGGGGTCAGGAAGGGGAGGGTACGGCCCTGGCCCCCCAAGCCCGGGAAGGGAGGGAGAACCAGGAGGCGGTCGGGCAGCAGCTCTGACCACAATGGCCGGCGTGTCACCAGGCTGGACGTGATTAATGACCCGAAGGGGAGCTCATGGAGACAATGGGAGTTGGGGGGTCCTGGGGGAGAACGGCCCCATCCATCAGGATCGCAGCCTGCCGCCCCCCACCCCGTTTGCCCCCCCTTTGTTTTCCCATCCCCCCTTTTCCTTGGTAGTGACCCCAACGGCCTCCCCCACATTCCCTCCCCTTTCCCTGCTCCCACCTAGAGCCAGGCTGGGACTGTCCCCCGCTCTCTCCCCCAGCCGAGCCCCCCAGGAGGGGCCCCACCCTCGGTGTCCCCCTAGTCTCCCAAAGCCCGCTCCCAGCACCCCCGCCTCCTGGCCCCAGCGGCCCGCCCCCGCCTGGGGCCCCGAAACCTGGAGACCCCCGCCCTCTAATGCCCCCCTCGCCCCGACCCCGGGACCCAGGTCCTGGGGTCTCCAACCTCCCCCCCGCGGCGCAGCCCCTCCGCCCCTGGGCTCCTGCACCCCCACTCACAAGAGGAAGCTCATCTCGTCTGGGCGGGGCGGGGCGCGGGGGGGCCCGGAGGAGGCAAAGGAGCGGAGGCCGGACGGCCGGAGATGGAGGGGGCAGCGGCGCTCCGGACCCGCGCTCGGACGGAGAGACGGAGCGATCCCGGCCAGCCGCGCACCCGGAGCCGCCCACCCGAGCCCCCCACTCCGAAATGCGGAACTAGCGCAGCCCTCGCGGGAGGGAGCCCCCCCCCCCCCCGCGTCCGCGGCAGGAACGAGGAAGGGACGGGGAGCCCCGCCCGGCCCCCAAAGGGCCCGCGGCCAATCAGCGGCCGAGGCCCCGGCGCCCCCCCCCCCGCCCCACGTGGGCCCCCGGGGGCGCTGCGGCACCTGCGTGGGGGAGGGGGCCCAAGGTCAAGGTCACGGGCAGGGGGAGGGGATTCCCCTCTGACGGGGGGGCGGGGCTGGGGGGGAGGAATGACCCCTGGGCCTCAGGACCAGGGAGCCCCGGGGTCACTTCTGGTCAGACCCCCCACGTCCCAGGGCTCTTCTAAAGCGGCTCCTCCACTGTCCGGAGAAGCTCGGGCTGCCACGTCCCGTGTTCCGAGGGCATCTCCGGCCCTGACGTCCACTGTCCCCTGGCCCTTCCCACATCCCATGTTCCAAGGACCCTGCTGCTCAGAGACCTTTAGCCAAGGACCTAGGTTATACTGACCAGATCGATGCAAGGAGTTTTCTCACACTTGAACATCACAAGAAACCCATCCGTCTTATCTGAAAACTGGCCCCATACTGATCAATCAGTTCCTGTTTCCATATTCCTTTGATTGTCTCTTGGGGGGAGTGGGACCCCTCTTTTTCTGAATGCGGAGAATTGTACCTGTTCATTCTCACCCTCCTCCTTGACTGGCCTTATTTGATGAATTGGTTTTAATATACAGAAGTCTGTCCACCCTGTATTGGGGTCCAGCCCTAAGCTGAGGAAATCTAGTCCCTATAGGCGTAGATTGCTTTAATGAATAGATTAGTTTGGGAGATCAAACCTTTTTTTCCTCCCTCATTTCATCTATCCACAGATCCAAGGTCTCTCCCAACCCTGGGTGACCCCAGGCAAGTCACTGAATTTTCAATTCACCAGAAAACTTTCTAGTTTAAGTTGCAGAAAAGCAAGTGGCTTGCCTTGCTTTCTCACCTGAGAGTTCCCTCTCCCAAATTGTGTAAATGTCCTGTTTTACACCAAAGCTCCCTGAGGACAGCTCCTGGTATCTTCTTCAGCCCTCTATCTCCTGCCTATCAACAACAACTCGGCCTTCCTGGCTCATAGTAAGAATTTATAAATGCTTATGGAGATGCATTGAACCGTGAAGTCCCCTCCTGGGCCCCTGATGTGAGCAGTTAGTAGATCGAGGTGGGGATGCTTGGGGTGGATGGGTGGGGCTTGGAGGGCCCTAGCAGAAGGTGGGCCGAAGGCTAAGTAAGGTTGCCTTGTCCTTGCTCCAGGCACAACAAGGAGGGAAAAGAGCTTAGTGAAATAAAAGATAACCAAAAACACGGTCAGTAACTGCTGGGACTCTGAATCTGTTGGCCCGTGGGCACTCTCCCTCGATGCAGATCCCTCTAAGATTTGATCAATGATCTTGAGGGTAGTTGTGTCTGAAAGGGGCACAGGGAAAGTCTAGATGTTTCTTAATCATCCAAAAACTAAAAAATGACTGGGTATTTTTGTAATGAGTAACTTTTCTTAGCCTGCCCACAGCTCAATACAGTTTCGTATTTCCTGCCCTGAAAAAAATGACTCATGAGTTAATTGGGCTGATGAAACCTCTCTTGCCATCTGTGTCTGGGAGCTGTCTTTCCTGAGGCCCAGGGTGGCCTTCTACTTAGCTCTTCCACATGACTTGTTAGCATAGACTTTGGTCTATGCTAAGAGACCACTGGAAAGTTAATGCCAGAGTATTAATTGGTAACGAGGAAGCAAGAGCTGCCGTTAGCTCTTGGCCTCTTCAAGAGAGAAGGGATGGCTCGGTCCAACGATAGGACAGAAGGAAGAAGGTAGAAGGCTCAGGAGAGAGACAGACCGAGAGATAGAGGCAGAAAGAGACGGAGAATTCGAGAGACAGACTCAGAAAGAGATGGAACTTGGTTTAATGGACTGGGGAAGGCTGAATTTTGAGAGGCCGGCCAGAAACCTGAGCCAGGAATAGGAACCAAATGGTAGTAACAGGTGTGTGGGCATGGTGGAGAGAGCATGGGATTTGGAGCCAAAGAATTGGGGTTCAATCTCAGCTCTTCCATTTGCAGAGACCTTGAGCAAGTCACTTCGTTTCTGGGCCTCACTGCCTTCACCACCAAAAGGAGGTTGGACCACATGTCTTCCCAGCCCCCTTCCAGCTCCTTCCCATAGGAGCCATTAGCATGCCTCCTTTGAAAATGAGAGTTGGTGGGGCATAACAGATTCCAGGCTTCCCTGTGAACTGGCTATGTGACCCTGGGTGAGTTCCTTAACCTCCCAGTGCCTTCGCAACTCGACAAGAGTCAAAGTTACAGATAAATTGCTGATCTCCCATAATGACAAAGAGCTCCTGGTGGGGAGGTTGTTCAAGGGTTATCCTCATTTCACAGATGGGAAAACTGAGGCCCAGAGAAGATTGCCTCTACAATTAGATACATCCTTGCCTTTTTTGGCAGCTGAAGCATTTCATTGTCTCTTCTGGAACAATGACCCTTCATTCTCCCTGAAGCCCTCAATACTCCAGCCTGACTGCCCGGCTTCTTACTGCACCCGTAGGACAGCCCATTTCCTACTTTGGCTTCTCTGCCCAGTCTGTTCCCCACACCTGGCATGTTCTCCCTCCTAACCACCACCTTTTGGAACCCCAGTTCCCTTTAGGATCCTCTCAAAGGCCTTTGTTCATTCCTGCAGCTGTTAGTACCCCTGTTTTGTATCGAGTTTGCAAATCTCCAGTATTTACCCATCTGGCGCTTTCCCCCCAGTTTGGGGGTCTATGTAGCACCCAGCACCCAGCACAGCCGCTGGTACCTAGGGAGGGGCTTCATTGATTGTTGGGTGATAGGAGGGCTGCGTCTTCCTCAGAAAAGTGCTGCTTGGGCCAGCCACCAGTCTGATGGTCCCCTGTGCCCCGGTGATAGGACAGTGCTAGCTGCAGTATCTTATACATAGCAGTGACAATAAATGCTTGTTGATTGAGTAATTGATCTAGATAGGGAGAGAAGCAGCAGGCAGCTCTAGATGGCCATATGAAAAGTTCAGTAACCAGGATAGGTTTAAATAACAGTTCTGGGCAATGGTAGAGGACTGGTCACAGCGCAGGACACCATTAAGTTACTGTTTGTTACTCATTTATTGTACTGATAGTAAGTATTACAGGAATGCAGAGCAGGACCAAAGTCACTGAAAGAGGCACTGAGAGGCAGGAGGCCTTCTCTTCTGGGCCTCAGCTATCTCCTCTTTGAAATGAGTCCCTGGTCCCCTCCATCCTTAACGTTCTGGGATGGTGTGGGCAGGCTTGCAGGAGGAGCCAGGCCTGGAAGGTGGGCAGGTGGGGAGGTGCTGGAAGGCTGTACATGGGGGGGCCTCCAGATCTGCATCCCATAGTCAGGACCTCAGCTGCTTCGGAGTCCTGCTGGCTGGAGATGGGGAGAGCAGGGGGAGGGGGAGAAGGAAGAGAAGGCCAAGTACTGTGAGCTGGTGCTTAAAAAAAGATACACACCTCTCCTCCTCTTCAGGCCTGACCTGATGTTCACTTAAACTCCATTTCGCCTAGAAATAAATGCATGATTTTTCGTTTCTTTTTGTTGGGGAGAGGACCACCACATGGATCACTTACTCTAGTTTGACCCCCACTGCAGATGGACATGACTCTGGGGATTTGTCAGTTTTTATGGTCAATAAGCTGAAAGGAGGGAGGGACCTCCTCCCTTCCCTCCCCCAATCCTCATTCAGAGCTGTGGTTTCCTTCTCATTTCCTGGCTGCTAACTTTTAAAAAAAAAAATCTTTTTTCTTCCTTTTATTCTAAGTGTTACTTTAACTTAAAACCTCAGGGCCAGGGGACACCCTCGTCTATTGGACACCTTTCAGAGCCCCTTTCTCACTTGGGCAATAGGACAATTCAATTTTTTTAAATGAAGCAATGTGGTAGGCTCTGAGGCAGGTATGAAGCTTACATCTAAAGCTCCAGCCCTGCTCCTGATGCCTGCCCTCATGGAGCTTCCACAAGGTGAAGAGACAGTGGAGCGAGCCCTGGATTTGTGGTCAGAAGAGGTGGGTTCTAAGGGGCAGCTAGGTGGCTCAGTGGATAGAGCACTGGCCCTGAAGTCAGAAGGACCTGAGTTCAAATCTGGCCTCAGACCAAATACTTGACACTTACTAGCTGTGTGACCCTGGGCAAGTCACTTAACCCCAATTGCCTCACCAACAAAAAAAAAAAAAAAAGAGGTGGGTTTAAATGCCAGCTTTGCCCCTTAGACCTGTGTGACTTTGAGAAAGTCACTTCCCCCTCAGTGCCTCAATTTCTTCATCTGTCAAATGAGAGCATTGGGCTAGATGTTCCCTTAGGTCCCCTAATATCTCTCCCATCTCTAGATCTTTGATCCTAGGGCAGTAGGACAGGACTGCATCATCCTCATCCTCATCCTCATCAGTAATCAACTTTCAGGTTGGAAAAGACCTTTACAAATATTGTCTCACATAATCCTCACCAACAGCCCTGACAGGTTGGTACTATTATGGTAGCCATTTCCAGATGCAGAAAAAACCCGAGACATTAGGAAATTGAAAATAACAATAATAATGATCAGCACAATAATCTTTATATATAGCACTTTAAGACTCACAAATATTTAATTTCATCCTCACAACAACTCTGGGATGTAGGTGCTATTATTATCCCCATTTTACAGACAAGGAAACTGAGGCAGACAAAGGTTAAGTGACTTGCCCAGCTAATAAGTGTCTTGGGCAGGATTTGAATTCATGTTTTCCTGACCCTAAGAACAACAGTTTCGTATTTCAGGCTACAAAACTATAATGTATTAGAAGTGGTTTATCAGACACACGAATCAAATACCAGTGAGGTTTGGTGTGTAGAAAGATCCGGGAAGATTTCCAGGAG